TCAACATAGTATTGAAAGTCTTGGCTAGAACAATTAGACAAGAAAAAATTATAAAGGGCATTTGAACTGGAAAGGAGGAAGTCAATTTGCTCCTCTTTAAAGATGACATGATCAAATATATATATATTTTAAAAACCCTAAAAACTATACCAAAAAACCCTTAGAACTGATAAATTCAGCAAAGCTACAGGATACAAAATCAACTTAGAAAAATGAATAATATTTCTCTACACCAACAACTAGCAAAAAAAGAAATTAAGAAAACAATTATATTTATAATATCCACAAAAATATACCTATGAATTGATTTAACCAAAGAGGTGAATGATCCCTATAAGAGAAACTATAAAAAATTGATGATAAAAATTGGAAAAAAAACACAAAATGGAAAGACATCCTGTGTTCATGGATTCAAATAACTAATTGTGAAAATAACCATAATATCAAAAGCAATCTATAAATTCAGTTCAATCTCTATCACAATTCTAATGAAACCCTTTACAAAAATAAAAAAGTCAATCCAAAAATTCATATGAAACCTCAAAAGACCCCCCAAATAGCCAAAGCAATTCTCAGGAAAAAGAACAAAACTGGAGGCATCACACTACCTGACTTCAAAGTATACTCCAAAGTTATAGTAACAAAAACAGCCTGGTAGTGGCATAAAAACTGACACATAGACCAATGGAACAGAATAGAGAAACTAGAAACAGCCACTGATTTTTGACAAAGGCACCAAAAATATTCTTTGGGAAAGATAGCCTCTTTAGAAAATAGTGGTGGAAAAACTGAATTTCCACATGTAAAAGAATAAAACTAGACCTCTCTCATCATATTAAAAAATCAACTCAAAATGAATTAAAGACAAATGGTTTAAAAATCAAAATTTTGAAACTACTAGAGGACAACATAGGGGAAATGCTTCAGGACATTGGTCTAGGCAAAGATTTTATGGAGAAGGGCTTAATAGCCCAGGTAACAAAAGTAACAATAGACAAATGGGATTATGTCAAACTAAAAACCTTATTTACAGAAAAGGAAATAATCAACAGAGTAAACAGACAATCAGTAGAAAAAAATATTTGCAAATATTAATCCAACAAGGAATTAATATCCAGAATATACAAGAAACTGAAACAACAGCCAGCAAACATTTACCTTGATTAAAATTTAGCAAATGAGCTGAATAAACCTTTCTCAAAACAAGACTATAAATAGTCAATAGGTATACTGAAAAAAGTGCTCACCATCACTAATCATCAGGGAAATGCAAATCAAAACCACAATAAAATATCGCCTCTTTCCAATTAGCATGGCTATCAACAAAAAGACAAAATACAACAAATGCTGGCAAGAATGTGGAGAAAGGAGAACGCAGATGCATTGCTGGTGAGAATGCAAATTAGTAAACCCACTTTTGAAAGCCATAAAGTGTCTCATCAAAAAACTACAAGTAGAACTACCATATGATCCAGAAATCCCACTACTGGGTATTTATGAAAAATAAAGAAAATCAACATGTCAAAAAGATCTCTGAACTGAACCTTGAACTGAAGCATGTTTACTGAAGTACTATTCACAACAGCCCTGGATATAAATCAACTTAAGTTTTCATCAACAGATGAATAAAGAAAATGTATATATACACAATAGAATACTACTCAGCCATAAAAAGGATGAAATCTTATTAATAGCAGTAACGTGGATGAAATTGGAGAACATGATGTTAAGTGAAATAATCCAGGCATAGAAAGGTAAATATCATACAGTCTCACTCATATGTGGAAGTTTAAAAAGTTGAGCTTATAGAAGTAAGAGGGTACTAGAATAGTGGTTAATAGAAGTTTGAACGGATGGGAGACATAGGGATTGTCAGAGATTGGCTAATGGATACAAAATTACACCTAGATAGGAGGAATACATTCTATTATTCTATAGTACTTAGGATGAGTAGAACAGAATTTACAAAAATTTATTGTTTATTTTTAAATAGAAGGGTGGATTTGGAATATTCTCAACACATATAAATGATAACTATTTGAGGTAATAAATATACTAATTGCCCTAATTTTATCATCACACATTCTAAAAATGTATCAAAATATCACTGTACTCATAATTATGTACAATTACATCAATTAAAAATAATAAAAGCAAAAGATTATGAAATTAAGATGAAAGACATTATCTTTACTTTCCTATTTTCTTTTCCAACTGTATTTAAAATATTTTCACATATTTATGAACATAGGAAATAGTCTCTTTTCTTTATCTTTATTCCCTTCTTTAGTTAGGTAGGACACAATCATTTCACTTAAAAACAGAAAAATTGTATTTGCATCATGAAGAAAAGACTTGGATTTTCCAAATGTTTATTAATTGGGAAGTCAATTTAATGTGTAGAAAAAATATAATTTTTTAGAGTGTATGTATAAAATTATTTAAATGTATATTTCTATGAACAATTTATGCTAAAAATGTTTGTAAATTCTAACATAAAAGCTTCCCACATTAAATTGCTAAAAGTAGGTTAGAAGTTATTTGTGTTTACAAAAAGAATTTATAAATGCATAATGATTTTTAAGCACCACCTCTCTGTTATTTGATATGTTTTATAGAGTTTGTCTTTAAGGAAATTTTATGTCTGTTTTCACTCAGAACCAAGCCAATCACATACAGTATTCATAAATTCTACCATGTAACACACATACATCTGGCTTTTGTTTGAGCCTTCAGCTACTAGTTGCCCATAGTCATAAGCTGTTATACAACATACTACTACATTTCTAGGCTACATTGCTTTCCTTTGGACTCTGACTCAAAAAAAGGCATGTCTTTATTAACATTTTGATTTCATATCTGAGTCTGATACGATGGATCTCATCAAGAATGAACCTCCACAAGTTATATGCATCACTACACGTAGTATTAGATTGTATTCACTGCCATTTCTGTCACTGACTGAATGTTAAAATCAAGTGTATGTGGATGGGTGGGTGTGTACTTTTATAACTTTTATATATTAATCAAGTCTTTCTTTTGAAAAATCCACTGATTATTTTTCTAGTTGTTCTATTTGTTTACCCGAAAAGTTGACGTGCAGAACAGGTGCAAAACTAAAAGATCAGCAATTTTCAAAGGGCATGGCAGCAGTTGAGAAGATTGAGTTTCTTACACTTTATGTCTTGTGATGTTTGTTGGTTTTTAAGCTGAGCTACTTTATCTGAAAACATCTCTTGTTCTATTAATTTTGACCTTAGCCAGTGAATTTAAATGTGCATTATTGTTCTTTCAACATATAATTAGTATTTTATTCTACATGAAATAAAGGAAATGATTAATGAGCTAGAAAAAATTATAAACATAATAAATCAATTTAATTGTTAAAAGAAATGAAAAAAGAAGATGTTTCTTTGCTTCCTATCTCCCAAATCCACTATTCCATTCTGTCCTTTTTTAATTCATGTCTCTGCCTTTTGCAACTTTGTGTTTGGTAGTTTGCTAATCCATTCTAGTTTTGATTTGGTTAAATCAAAGTATCCTGTCTGCATATTAAGGATAATAAAGACCTCACTGCAATTCAATTCTGGCTTAAGTATTGACTGAAGATTCCTACAAACTAGACCTGGCAGTGTGATAGAAGAGAAAATCTTTGTCCCTGTCTTGAACAAGCAGACAGTCCGGTTAGAATAATGATTCAAATGCCTACTGCATGCAAGAAGGTCAGTCAGAGATATGAAAATGGAGAGATCCTACTGACTGGAATAGTAAGATACTTCAAAAAGATGGGTTTTGAACTTTACATAGTAAAATGTGCAGAACTGGATAGGAAGAGAGAAGTAGGGATAACTGAAAGTGTCCATTAGGCAGGGATGCATACACGAAGAGTCCCGGAAGAACAGATTCCTATGGCATGTTCTGGGGATGGTGTCACTGACTAAGGCTTAAGACAGGGAGCAGTGAATAGGTTGAATGGTTTCAATCGGGTTATGAGTAGGAAGATGTGCCAATTCTAACCAAGACAAGTAGTTTAATTAGACATTGAAATCTGCATATCATATGTTGGAGGTATCACAGCCAAATAAAGGTAATTTCTCTATAATCTACTATTGTTTTACCCATGCCTCTCTTTTCTTTATTAATACAAAAAATTGAGTGTGTTAGGAAAACACATAGGGAGTTTTTCATCAAATTTTCACATTTATTTCATATTTGAAAAATAAAAGTAATATTAATGCATTTAACAAATATAGAAATGACACAAAATAAAAATGTTATGCTTTTTAAAGAGTTGTTCATTTAACAAGGTTTTAACACACTAAAATAAAGACATTTCTTATAAATCATGTGATCAAGCCTAGTAAAAATTTAATTCACTCTTTTAAATAGGCTTGGGTAAAGTGATGGAAACATATTGGATTAATGGCAAAATCTATTTTTAAAAGATGAAAAGTGAATTATGTTGCCATGATTTGTACTATAAATTATTTCCAAAAACAGAAGAAATAAGCAAATGAACTTAACCAAATAAATACCAGTAATTTTTTTTATTGTTCTCTTCAAAAGGAAATATAGTAATAGAGATGCTTGAAGAGCTTGGCTTCTCATATTTATTTCAGATCTTGTCGCAGAATCAAAGTCATCCTATTTCTCAGTTCTAGAGGAACTGGCTAAGACAGGATTCAAATAGCTAGATAAGATCCTACTGCATAGTTCAATTTCTATATTCTCAGTAAAAATTTGAAAGGAAAGTCAGATCACAAAAACAGAAATAAGTAGATGAATCTTCTTGTATCTTTACTAGTACTCTTGTTAGTTTATTGTTTTGCTTTGTTTGCTTTTTGGTTCATTTATATACAAAGAGTGAGTGTAATGAAGAAAACAGACTTGGCGATACAAAATAATATTCATGACTGGAGAAAAACATGATTAAGAAAGTATTGTAAATGCTATTTGGGAAAAATAAAATATTTCCCCAAGTTTGGCATGGATATTTTTAAGTTTTCCATTTATCCAGCAGACTGATAAATGGAAATTTGAGACAAATTAGAGATGATCCTGTTTCTTTAATAAAATGATAGATGATATATATATTCATTGAAATAATTCACTATCAAAATACTGGAGCTCAGAAGGAAACCATGGCTACATTAACCCAATGTTCTTTTATATTGAAGGGTGAATATCATCTCATGGGCCTATTTTCTCTTACCTTGAGAAATCTATTGTGATATTAATGGCTTAAACAGATGTGATGTTTCTGCTGCCCATACTTGCTTGAGTTGCTAATTTTTAGAATTTTGTTTCTAAAAGTCAGAAGCCCAGCAAAACGAAAGATGGGGTTATAATATCATGTTTCTTATCCAACATATGAAGCAGATGTGTGATGTACCTCTCTTTAACTCTTCTGCTATGCCCTTATTTGGGTCTTAACCAGTACTTGGAGAGACACTGTGCAGGCAGCTACGCCTGTAGATTGCCCTTGCTATCATGATTTACATTCCGATTTTCACTAACCAGGGGCGGCTAGTCCTCCCTGAGATCTACTTTTCTTGCTTGGCATAGTGATGTGACCAAAACAGATTGCAATACTCCATCTCTTCACATATCAGTAGTTTCATAGATTCTTATTTTATTTCAAGGTCATCACAAGTAATGTTTGGAGACTTGTTGAATCAATTATTTCTTCATTGCATTCAGAGAAATACACAATTGAGTATTTCAAATCTTTTTACATTTGTTTTGTCATATTAAAAATGTGTAGGAAAAGATTTGGTAAGTTAATATTACCAAAAGTCAAATAAAAGACATAAAAGAAGTTATGTTGTTCTTTTAAGAGAATAATTCCAGTTCAGACACCTGTGTTCATAAAGTAATGTAGTGTTCTCTGCAATAATGAGATATGGCATATTGACTAAAACTCTTAAAGGTAGAATTCAAAAGCCAAGCCATTAAGAACTAAGGAAACGCTAACCTTAACTTCATTGTAATTTATACCTGTCAACAGAATTATCAGGATAGCAATTTTAGAGATTATTTCTAGGTACTGCTTACAGTATTTCTCTTGTATTGAATACAATTGTGCCCTTCAGACAATCAAATATTTGCCCTAAGTTCTACTTAAGGATGTTTGTATTTGGTCAACTAAAAAGTTGAAGTCAAGCATTCATTTTCAATGGGATTTGAGTGTAATATGCAATTAGAGGATTTGGAAATAGTTATGTGCCTAATGAAAATTGAGGAAATCATTTACTGCCAGATGAAAGTCAGTATAAATGTTCCATCTTATTTTGTCTTCCCATAAATGTATATGTCTTATCTATATGGGATAATATATGCAAGTTTTGCTCATTGACTTTGCCCTTACCAGTAAATAGATTACTTTTTCTACCTGAAAATCAGTGTTACATGTTTTATGAAAGAAGTTCCTATGAAAAAAGAATCAACCAAAGAGGCTTCCTCTGGGTGACTTTCTTCCATATTTTCAGTGAAGTCAAAAGTGTCACACTACGTACCTATGCCTAGAACTAGCTATGCAGCATATCAAAGGAAGTGCTATGAAACAGAACAAAACACAAGAGTTTTACATATAGCAGTCATTCAATAAGTTGTTATTGAAATAAACTGTATGTGAATCTTTGCATTGCCTCTACTTCACTAAAATGATGAGTTTCATTATCACACACACTTGGCTATAGATAATAGCAGTAAAAGCCACTACTATACTGGATATTCATTTCTTCTTCAGTATATTTCCACATATAACTATTTGCCTACTTAAAATTTTTGGTTATCCAACAAGATGATAATCATGCAATAAATATCACCAAAGACAATTTGTTTGTTTTCTAAATCCACTTTAGAGGATAATTCATTGTCTTATCATGAGAAAAGATCAAAAATTTGTTTGAAGACAAAAATACTACCATGTGGAACAAATAGTCCATTTGGAGTTTTTATTATCATTTAATGCCTTATGCTTTATAGGTACAAATTCATTCTGAAACAATGCTTGTGGAACTTTTAATTTACATTTTCAACTCTGAATAGTTGACATTGAAATAGTTCAATTGTGTTACAGTCTTCCCTCACAAGAGAAAAGCATCGCTTAAAGACAGGCCACCCACAAAATTTTGCAGAATTGAAAGATAATCTCTCAATTGCTTCAGTCTTGGTCAGATTTTGCTTATGAATGCCCTGAGTTTGTAGCTATAAAGGTGTAAGACACGTATGTGTTTGTGTGCATCAAGTATTACTCAAGTGAACAGAATATGTTTCTTTAAGTTTGCACGTTTCAATATATATGGGTTTTCTTAAAAATATGAAATGTTAAAATATTTGATCAATGTATCCTGATAAATGATACAGTGTTAAATACAAATTTCATGTTCAACACTAAAAGCCCAAAAAAATCATCTGCCATTGTCTACGTTTTATCTGTTTTTTAAAACCTTGGGGGGAAATATATACTCTCAGGGAAAAAAAATGAAGCTTTATTGCTAGAGAAATGAATGCAAGAAATAGCACTTTAAGTAGTGAAGAGATGTGAAGCATTGCAACTTCATAGCCTGCTAAGGAGCAACAGCTGTACCTAATTTCAACTTGACGTGCTTCAGGTCTCATATTCATATAGGTATTTAATGATCCAAACATAATGGTCCTATATAGAATAATTACTTATATGAAGGAGCAACCTTATTCGCATTCCTTTTTAAATGATCCTTCAAGAGAAAAACTGCACTGGATCTTTGAACAATGAATAGTCTCTTTCACCAATTCAAATGTTTGGGATGAAATAGCTTATCTTTTGAGAAAGAATAATAATAGTGCTGGGGTTACTTCTTTTTGACAGACTCTTTTTGTCTACCCTCTTCCCAGGACAGCCAGGACAATGACAAAAGGTAGAATGTCAAGCCGATCATTAAGTCATAATGGTAGACAGTTACAAGAAATATCAGAAACAAAAGGAAATAAGGTATTTTAGAGTTGGTATATTTTGAAAACAAAGATTCATTGCTTTGAGCTTGACTTTCCTGGACAGGGAGACTAGTAGAAGCAGAGCTTTCAGATTCCTTTTCACCTGAAGGGTATAGTGATTGCCCAGAGTTTATTAATCCTTCATTTTCATCCCTTGCTTCTTCCACGTTCTCAAGAGGTTCACTGATTAAAATCATTGGCCCTAGAGATTTTTCCACACTATACTCTTCTGATTGGAAAATCTGGCCTGTACATTTTTCTTTTCTACTACCTGATGTCACTATTCCTGAACTTTTATAAACCTCTTCAGGTTTAGACTCAGGATAACAGTGATTCTCCATACCCTGGATTTTTCTTGATGAATTACAATTATTTTCTGATTTAGTAGAAATAGGCTGGCTAGCCATCATAGTAATTGCATTCTCTACAGCAATTTCCTGCTCATTAGTTGACACCGAAATTTCAGTATGATGTTTGGAAAAAGGAGAGCTATTCTGAGAAACTCTATTAGTGTCCGAGTTAAAAGCAGAATGCACAATGGCATCTAAGTCTGTTTTCTTTGATAATTCTTGAACCTGTCCATGATCTCTGTTTTCTGAAAATACTGTTTTGTCTGCTGGCAGCATTCCCAACTGTAAATTCAGTTTTGAAGTTGCTTTTTGATTTTCTGTAATGACGAGTGAGGATTCTTCCACAGATGTTATATTTCCAGTGCCACATTTCTCCCTGTCATGTGTCTTCCTAGGATTGTACATAGACATGGTTTCTTCCTTCTCCATTTCATCTACACGTACATTACAAATACCTAAATGTGATTCCTTTTCAAAATCATTGTCATAGATTACACCTATGGTATCTCGTTGACAAAGGGTATAATGTGAATCATCATTTCTCCCTTCATGTGGATCAAAGGCTGTTTCCTTTACCTCGATGGGCCTGTCACTTCGTGCTGTCTCTTGAGGTAGCTTAGCAATTATTGCTTTTTCTCTAGCAGACATGCTTTCTGGAGTACTTTCTGATGTTGTCTTAATTATATAGGCTGTACCTGCTTCTGCTTTCTCAGTAATACCATGATCAGCTAGAGAAGACAGTTCACAGCACACTGTTTCTTGGCAGGTAAACAATTCTTCTGTAAGAGAAGCTTTCAAACTCCTCGTATTATCTCTTTTTCCCCGCATATCTTCACAATCTGCTTGTTCTTTGATATGTTCTGTTATGTTTATCTTACTCTCTGTTGCTCTTCCCCAACTTTCCAGAACATTCCCACTTGGTTTATGCTGTGTGTTATTATCCCGATCTTCAGAACTAATCCAACCTGATTTTTCTTCTTCAGCTTGGGAAAGATAATCATTCCTTAAAACATTTTCAGTTCTTGATGAACAAACTTGACCAGTTATCCCTCCTAGAGCAATGCCTTCGCTGGTCAAATGATGATGCTCTGGGGTTAACACAGCTTCTTCCCAACTTAAATTTGTCCTTGGTGAGTGAGACATGTCTGCTGTGATTGCGGGATCTTTGCACAGCAGAGCAGTTGGGTCTCTGTTACTATCTCCAATCCCTTCCACACTTACTTTAGGGTTGCCCATCTTCCTTTCTTGGTCATGTAAGATTGTTTGGAAACATTTTTTTTGTTTTTCATTAATGTCTAAATATATTCTTTGTTCTTCATCATCTTTACCATTACCATAATCTTTCCTGGAAGATTCTTTTTCTGTTGATTCTTTGAGACATGCAGATATATCTGAATGGAAATCTCTTCTTAGACATCCCCAATCTTTTACTTCAATTTTTTTAGCTCCTCCTTCATACTTTTTATTAAGATTTCCTGCCATTAGTTGATCCGAAGAGGGGCAAGGTATTTGCATTGTGCCACTACCATGGGCTGGATTAGCATTGTCATCCAGGACTTCTTTGCTGCCAATGTATAATTGCACTAGTTTATCTCTACTAGTATCTCCCAGTGATGGCTTGATTTCTCCCATATTTGAAGTAATTTCCTCTGAAATTTGATGTGTACAACCATTTCCTGAAGAACATTTTTCATTGTAGTTAAAATCTCCCTTTATGGAGCTTTCTCCCGATGAACTTGGAGACAGAGACCTTTGGAACAAGTCAGCGCGTATTTCACCATGGATTTTATTCTTCTCTAGCCCCTCTGCTTTATTTGGAAAATTGACTGGATCTGTTGGAAATGTATTCTTTTCACCTCTGGAATCAGTACTTCTGGTTCTTATTAAGTGTTGATTTATCTTACGGGATAAAAACAACAAAAACATAATGACCATATGATCTTTTTAAATGTACAGTGAATTAGATAGGTTTTATTAACTCAGGTAGTAATTATCTGGTAGATTTGTTTGACTGATTTCATTTGTGGATTACATATAAACTCTGGAAGCCGGATGTTTTGGGGAGATCCTTGTATGACTGGGGAATGAGATTAGTAAGAAAAGGGGCCCAAATTAATCACTCTCCTTCCCAGCTTCCAAATATCGCATTGTATTATTCAACTATTCTTGCTTGTCATTGCACTTTCTCCTCACTTAGGATATACACATTGATAGCTCCATGCTAATCAATTAGAGAGCAGCTTCCTGGGTGCCCCTTGCTGCATTTACACTTGCTGTAGGTGCCCCTATTACAGTTTCTCTTATTAATATGTTTTCTGCAAAGCCTCTGCAAACTATTAATAGCAAAACGTCACTCAAAGAAAAGTGAGGGAGTTAATGTCTCTGCAAATTCTGTTTTAATGACCCTCTGCCAACTGGTACTCAAATGTATTTGAGCTCTTCAGTGATGCCAACTGTCAGGATTTAACAGTGAGATGCCTGTGTTTTTTTTTTTTTCTCCTCATAACTGACATTTGCATGATCTCAATAATTATATGCAAATCTTACATTTTCCCCTTCTTCTCACATAAGGCTCATGTTACTTGTCAACTGCACAGCTGTCTTGTAAGCCAATGCCTGTGGGTTCCACAGATTTGGTTGTATTTCCATCTATTATAGAACTTCATTGTTTTATGCATTAACATCAGCATGGAGCAAATTAGCATCTAAATTACAGCTCCCTGTTCATTTATTGGATGTACAATCTCAGTAACTTCTAAACAAACTTTTATATTTGAGCCTGCTCATTGTAATGAGATGTATTGGTGAAGTATGTGATTTTTCAGGACCCTTTCATTATATTCTATGGTTTGAAAAAAAATGGCAATGTTAACTTTCAGCTGGTAAGAATTCTCACAATGGGTGACAACTTTGTAGTTTCTTAAAGTTGGGGCAAAGTAAATTGCATACTTTAGTGATGCAGCTCCCATATCACTATAGAAAAGGTGGAATATGTGGGGAAATATATGAGCTCTATTTCACTCCTGTTTCAGCACTGACACTTGAAGAGGCAAATGTCATTTTAATCTTAGATGATTACGAATCCATGTATTCCAATGATGTGAGCTCCATCCAAATACAGTAAAGGATAAATTACATTATGTGACTCATTTACTCCTGTTTCTTCCTTTGTGATAAAAGTGCTATCTAAACCATCCCCCAAAAAAATTCCAAATAGATTGAATGTTCGCCAAGTGTGAAATTTATGATAACAAATTTAGTACTAAATTGTATAGTACCGAATTTGTTTCCTGTTTTAAAATTACGGCACAGGGTATTTTCTTCTTACTTGGTAATTTAATACGCTGCAATGATATAGAACTTGAAGATTCTCATAAGGATGGAATTTTTTAAAAAATGCTGTTACATGTGAGAATCATTGACTTGTAGAGTTGGACAGGACACTAACAATCTTCTAGTCCAGCCCTCTCATTTTATAGATGAGTTTATGCTAAGTATATACTTGTCACAAAGATTAGAAATGCACATTAGGATAGTGCTACCTCTCCTGTAATTCCTACAAACTATTACTCAGAGCCGCTCGTAAAGAGATAAGAAACGAATGTCATTAATTTACCACTGCAGAGACCAGGAGCAACATACAGAAATCAAAATGCCTTGTTGATCAAGCTGGAGATGCAAGGGCAGAATAGGCTGTGCTTTCACATTTGCAAATTATATTAGTTGAAGCTATTGAAAGGCAGGCATTGCAGAATCTTTGAAGTACAAATGGATTCATCTTCTCTAATACCGTGGCAACCAGAATACTTACCGTCAACTCTAATTCTTTTTCATTATGTTCATCATGTTTCCTGTTTACATCTTTTACATTTTGATTACTGGTTTCCAAATCTTCTTTGTCCTCATGAGAACGAACGTTTGTTGGGATATAGGTATCTGAAAAGTTAATATAATTGTGCCTATGTAAGATTGTCTTAATTGCGGGTTTTAACAAAAGAGACAAATTTGGTTTAAAAATTAATGAAAAATATTACCTGTATTCTTTGGATTCTCAAAGTTATTCCCTTCTGATGTTACTGATGATTCTTCTTTACTGTTAAATTTAAAAGACAATGTTATATATTTTTCTGGGACTCCATCTTCTAAGCGTTTTTACACAGGGGGAAAGTCAATCAGTAACAAGCCAAATAAATATTATACAACCTTTCTTATTTTCTTGTATTATCTGGGATTTTTTAAAAATAAAAATGATCTTTTTGGAATAATGCAATAGTAAATATTGGTTGTAGAAAAATTTAAAAATAATTTATACAATGCTGTATTTCTAAACCACAGTGTATTGCGTGTATTGCTCACATTAAAACCTATATAACCAAAGTAAAAATACATGTAAATGTAGATTATTCTGTCTTTGATGAATTTCATCTTTGCAAGTGAGAATATTTTTCTCATGGCTTAATGATAAAATTTTATGAACTGACAGCCCATTTGTGGTCATGGAAATTACTTTCTAAATTTCAATTATTAATTTTTTGTGTTCCATTTTACTCAAAATCTTTTCAGTTGGACTAACATTAACTCTCCAGAAAAGCAAAAAAACAAAAGAAATAACAGTAAAAAAGAAACAAGCTAACTAAGAAACTGAAGGGCAGCTAAATTTATACTCAAAGGCTTTATATATATATTGCCACAGGCCAATTTTATAAGCAAGACGTTGGATCATTTATATGCAAGCATATATTTTCCTTCTTTAAAATAATTTGGGTTACATTTCCTTTTCTAGAACACTCTGCATACTGATTGTAAAAGACAAATACCTTTTTCTTTCAAATGTAATCTATTTGCAGTTGTATTTGTGGAGTCATTAGAATTTAGATTTGTCCATGACATTCAGTAGGAAAACTGTTGGTTAAAAAAAAAGCCCACTTTGTATATAGTTATGTCACAAGTCAATTTATTAGAAATATTTGGCCCAGTATACACATTTTATTGTACTGTCTCAGCTGAATTTCTTTCTGGTGACTTTTCTCAATGACTTTTCTGCAACAAAAGAACTCTGGAAAGTTGACAATCGCTGACAAATTTGTGTAGTAAGAGTCTAGTCTTCATTGCATAAGCAATTTTGATCCAAATCACAGGAAACCTATCACAAATCATGAGAAATTGAAAATTCTTCCATTCTGACCATGCAAGAAGATAATTCAGTTTTGTATATATTTATGATTCATAATTTTAACTTTACTAAAAACATTTGGTACCTTTAGTGGGCCCATATGTAGAAAATAATGCTTCTATATAAATATAATTTTATTAGAACAATATACTGTTTGCACAATTGATACTGACTTAATCTATAAATCCATATGAGGCCAAAAACTATGCTAAGATTTATTTTTATGGAATCCAACTGCAAGCTGACACATCCTTTTCCATGTATATAATGTTTATGTGCTTAGAAATATATAAACCATTAAACAGCAATTATTCCTGCTTCCTCTTTATTCCCATAACAATACGGAAAGTATTATTTGTAGAAGAAAAATAAGTCATTCGAATATTTTTGTTTTCACCTAACCAAAATGCTATCAATCACTTCTCTAATTCAATTCTCTAAAATAGTTTAATTCTTCAAAAATGATCACATCCAAAGGACAGGAGCCTGCTTTATCTTATCTGGGGATAAAATAAGTATTCAACTATGTGTTCTTATGTTAGTGTCTTAAAAGTATAAATATAGCAATATAGGAGGAAAACTTCACATTCACAGACAAGTATAAACAAGAAAAATAGAGTTAAGTGAAATTTAAATATCATACCAAATATCTATGAAGAAAAACTGAGACAAAATTTGTAAGATTCCTATGGGGAAAGTAGTAAAAATATATCAAGGAATGTCAAAGAAGATCCTTAAAAAGTTGGTAAACATACCATGTTCATAGATAGAAAGAAAATATTATGAAAACATCAGTTCTCTCACAAATTGATCTATAGATTCAATACTAATCAAAACACCAAAACATTTTTTATAGACTTGAAAATATGATTCTGAACAGAAAAATAAACGGCAAATGATGGCTAAAATGTTTCTGAGAAATAGCAGGGAGGAACTTTATCAGGTTAAGTATTTTTAATAAATATTTCTTTATTAAGATAGTGTTAATTGGTACACAGTCAGGTAAACTAACTAATAAGACAGTATTGAGAGCTTAGAACTTTGGTATATATGACAAACGGTATATCCAGAACCTTGGTAAATGACAAATGTAGCATATCAGACAATAGAAAATATGGTACTTCTCAGTAAATGGAGATAGAGAAAATGACAACCAGTTGGATTTATATCTTAAATGTCAAAAACCTTGAAATTCTTACTAGAAAATATATGTGAATATCTTCTGGACCTCTGAGTAGGAAATATTTTCTTAAGAAAATTATTATTTAAAAATTGGTCAGTTTAACTGTAATAAAATTTAAAATGCTTGTTCATTAAGAGACTATGCAGCAAAAAAAGAAGTTACAAAGTGTGAGAAGACGGTTTAGTTACACAAAATGAATGTAAATAAGTATCAAGAATACACAATGAACTCCTACAAATCAATAAGAAAGCACAAACAATTCATTGTGCATCAGGGGCAGAGGGGCAGACATTTCAGAGAAGAGGGAACACATATAGTCAATAAGCACATAATAGGATGGTCAGCATTAATTAGAGAACAGAGAAATGAAATCAAGACCACAAAGAGTTATAATTCTATACTCATTTCATTAATAAAAAATTTAAATGTCTATTAATATCAAGAGTTGAAGACGGTTGAAGCCACGGGTGTTTTTTTTTTTTTTTTTTTTTCACAAAGTCTTGCTCTGTTACCCAGGCTAGAGTGCAGTTACGCAATCTTAGCTCACTGCAACCTCAGCCTCCCAAGTAGCTGGCATTACAGGAACAGGTGCAAGACACCATATCCTACTAATTTTTTGTATTTTAGTAGAGATGAGGTTTCACCATGTTGCCCAGGCTGGCCTTGAATTCCTAAACTTAGGCAATCTACCCACCTCAGCCTCCCAAAGTGCTAGAATTACAGGCATGAGCCACTGCACCTGGTTCCCAGGCTTTCTTGTACATTGCTGGTGGGAGAATAAATATGTAAAACCACTTTGAAAAACAATTTGACTGACATTATCTTCAAAATTAAACATTTATATAAACGATGACAACTACTTCCAGCCCCAGGTGTATACCCAAGAGAAACTCTTGTATATATACCTGAGATATTTAAAGGAATGTTAATGATGTCATTGTTAACTGTGTAAGTCTTGAACCAACCCAAATCCCCATCAACAGAAGAATACATACAAAACTATTAATATCACAAAAAGGAGTATTATACAGCACTCAAAATCAATAAACTACATAGGCATACAACAAGATGGATAAATCTTGGCAATATAATATTAAATGAACCATTCCAAAGTATTATAACAGAGCACATTCTTTTCATTAAGCTAAAAACTACCTATATGTGTAAATAAAATTACTTTCCCCTTGCTATATTATAAATTACACAGTCATATACATAATATAAATCATAGTTATAGCTATATATAACTACATATATTTAATATATATAGCAAAGGACAAGTAATTTTATTTATTTATGTATATGTAGTTTTTAGCTTAATAAAAATATTCCTCTGTTAAAATACTTTGGAACTGTTCATTTAATATTATGTTGATAAGATTTATCCATACTGTTGTATGTCTCTGTGGTTTATTATATATTACAAATTACACAGATATAGAGCAAGTGGTAATTTTGCAATAGTTACACTAAAAATAATTGATTTTCAAGATGTTATGGTTATATCCGGTAGCTATATATTTTGGCTGTGTCCCCATGCAACTCTCATCTTGAATTGTAACTCCTACAATTCCCACATGTTATGGGAAAACCCAGAGGGAGCTGACTCAATTATGAGGGCGGGTCTTTCCTGTGCTGTTCTCATGATAGTAAATGAGTCTCATGAGATCCGATGTTTTTAAAAACAGAAGTTTCCCTTCATAAGCTCTCTTTTTGCCTGCTGCCACCCATGTAAGATATGATTTGCTCCTCCTTACCTTTTGCTGTGATTGTGAGGCTTCCCCAGCATTGTGAAACTGTAAATTCATTAAACCTCTTTCTTTTGTAAATTGCCCAGTCTGGGGTATGTCTTTATCAGCAGTGTGAAAACGAACCAATACGGGTGGGTCAAATTATGGGCAAGGAATCAGAAAATGAAATGAGTAGAATTCAGTCATTGTTTGGGGTGGCTATTTTAAAGATGCTTATTAATAGTTTGAAATATCTAAATAGTTCAATCTAGTTTCAAGTAATTTATGAAGATAGATGGATTACTCCCTGGCCCACAATAGAAGATGCCTATTAATAAAATACCACTTTGAAATTCAAAGTACAAGTCACATGACCAATTCAACTAAAGAGGTGAATTCAAGAGCTTTAGAATATTTGAGAAAAAAGACAAAGAACATGGTGGTTGATGATGATAGGCCCAGAACTATGACAATTTTGATATGAAGAAAGTATACTTTTGAATATTTCTCATCTCCCCTTTATGTTCCTTGAGTTCTTTTTGATCAAGAGAGCTTTGTATTTTTCTACTTCCCAGTGGCTAACACAGTGTCTGACACATAATAGTGGCATAAGAAATGCTGCTGAATGAATAAATGCACAGCATCCTTTCCACCCTCCCTTCCCCTCTCTACCTTTTGCCAACATTACTATAACAGTGTTCTTCTCTTATTTCCTCATTTAATTTCAGAAAATGACCTAATATTTTAAAATATATATATTTTTGTTTCTCTTCTAAGACTTAAAGTATTACCCCTTCAGGACAATGTTTTCAATCATGGAGTCAATAATGAGTCAAGATTTAAACATAATTTTAAAATTCTTATAAATTTAGAAATTAAAAAGTAAAAAAGAAATGAATGGAACAATACTTTGTTTCCAATGTACCTTAAATTATACAATATAGTCACCTATATTATTTAATCATGAGATATATCATTTTTTCTTCTAAGAGATATTTTTAAATATC